CGATGGGTACCTATCGAATAAATGTGTAACTTTTTAAAGCGTTCAATGATGATTTTCTCCTTTGGTTTTTTTCTTTTGTCCATTTCTAGCGCTAGTTAGTTTCAGTCTAATTCTTAATATTATAGATATAATGCTATATTATAATATCATATTGTATTTTTGTATATATTTGTGTTTTTGTATGTAAAACCGAGATCACGTGATACCACTGAAAAGTTCTTTGTGTTTAAATGTCTGAATGCAAATAGCAAAAGTTGTAGTCTCTTACCATGTTTAAATTTTGTATTGTTTTGACAGCCAAGAAAATGTCGATAACGAAGAAACAATTAAACTTACATACTGACAGCTTATGAAAAACCTAGTGCTCGAGGTAGGCGAAAACTGAGCCATTACGGCATTATATCGTCGTTGGCGATAAATGAGTATTCTTTTTTTTAAAGGACTATGCACTTTTGGATGAAACGAGACAGTGCTTATATTAGTACAAGCGATTTTGAAAAGATGTAATTTCCTAGAGTGGTTTTGTACTGTTCCCGTAAATGGTATCTATGCTGTTATCGCACGTCATTATCTGTTACATCGACAACTTGGAAAGCATAGTGATTTCGAGCGTGACAAAAGAGAAGAAATTATTGAAGAAATAAACCCGAAATTAATTAAATACGGCCTTTGTTCTTGAAAAGAGAGGAACAATTTATTCTTCACAGTGGTCGAAACAAGGACGGGCACCATTGGTCAAGGTGAGCTTTCTGATCGGACTTTGTCCGCCGCCCACCTCCTTTATTTACGGCCAACCAACAAACCTGCAAATTAAACTGTTCAAATGCCATGTATATACGCCAATCTAAATACACTATTTTCCTCAAACAATCTGTCCATACCAATAAATAGAAAATAATTTATGCCACATTAGCAATGAATAATGCGCGCATTACGAAAATATGAATAAAAATTACACACGAGATAGTACAAAACATTACAATGATATAAACAATAGTAGGCATAAAAGCTATTAGCTACTTTTCGTTTGTATAAGATTTGATTTTATAATTTAAGATAATTAGAAAACTTGTCACGTACACGTTGCTCCAGGCACAAATTTTCAAAGTTTCATAGAATATTTCGTAGCTTTATGACTTAAAATTAATTATATTTCCTCCTTTGTCGTTTTAATGTATTTACTTTCAAGATTAAGCCTTCTGTTAGACAACTAGTTCACAAAGATCACAAAACGGTTTAATTTTAGAATTTGGAAGTTTTGTTGTGAACCAGTTTTTTTGAAAATTATCCCGACAATTCGTACAACTCTTCGATAATTTGTGATTTGGAAAGAAATTGAAATAATGGGCACAGTTCATGACATAAAATCATCCAACGGAGCCACGATCGCCCATATCACGACGTTTTGAAATCCCCAAAGAAATGTCCGTAACTATTATCCGATTTCTGTCATACCAGAATCGTGGCGATGGAATCTGTACAAAAATGCTTGAGACGAAACAACAGTTAGGCAATAGAAACAAGTGAATGAAGATTTTTGCAAAATAGAAGTGTAAAACAAAGAGCGCTATTCATCACTTATTTGGGCAACACTGTAGGTAACACTGATTCTGGGAAAAGGTTTAGTGCGTTGAAACGTTGTTTTGGTGTGAATCAAAAATTTTTTATATCGTAGGAATTTACTGTATTTGATTTATTAACAAGAATTGCTGTTTGGGGCAGAAGTATTTTGTATTAAACAAAATCTCCAATATGAATTTAAATGCTCATATTTTCACATATTTCAATTTTCACTTCGGAGTTCCATTGAGCTAAATAGTGAGCTCTGAAGAGTGACCAGGGACGTGGCGCGAAATGCAATAACAATTAAAATATTTTCCATAAAAATATATGAAATGTTCAGTTTAAAATAAATAAATAACCAAATTTCTACAATGAAAATAAAGAGGGTTATTTTGAGGGGGAAGGAGGTAATTTAACGAAAAAAGTCATAGAGTCATAGATGTAACAAATCGTGGGACACTGAAAAGGCATATGGCTGACAGTTAGAAATTATTTACATCATCTCGTTTTTATGATAAAATGTCCAGCCACAAGGTATAGAATCTCTACAAAAATGCCTGAGACGAAACAACAGTTATGGAATGGAAACAAGTGAATGAAGATGTTTACACACCATCGCTTTGCAAATTAGAAGTGTAAAACAAAGAGCACTATTCATCACTTATTTGGGCAAAACTGAAGATAACGCTGATTCTGGGAAAAGGTTGTTTAGTGCATTTACGTTTTCCTGGTCAATTGACCCAGTTAGTTCTTTCAATCAATTAATTATTCTTTATATGTAAGGTCTTGGTTGAGATAAAAAATTACTGTCACGAGCGGGATTCGAACCCACGAACTTCGGCTAAATACGCCTCTTCTCTACCACTTGAGCTATCGTGACTTCGATCCTCTTCGATTCGAACGGTTGTAGGTTGAGATGGAGAGTTGGTTCCATAGGGGATCGAAGTCACCATAGCTTAAGTAGTAGAGTAGCGGCATATTTAGCCGAAGGTCGTGGGTTCGAATCCCGCTCGTGACCCTGACTTTTTTATCTCAACCAAGATCTTACATAGAAAGAATAATTAGTTGTTTATTGCGTTGATACGTTGTTTTGGTGAAAATCACCACTTTTTTATATCATACGAACTTACTGTATTAGATTTGTTAACAAGAATTGTTGTTTGGGGCAGAATCTGCCAATGGTTCAACCTAAAGAGGATTGTATGTATTAGTCAGTAAACACCCTAGTAGGTCCCGTAGTAGAATGGGCCCACAGTTTCTCTGCCTGTCGTAAGAGCCGACCAAAAGAGCTTCTTCCTCACATTTGCCCCAGTGAGGAAGAGTGGCCTTCCCCTCTCCATAATTGTCTCATTTTCCCATACCTCTCACATCGTTTATTTTTATCTTTCCTTCTCATCTCTCCTTTCCCTTATCCTTCGCCACACCCCCAATTTTCCTCCCAACCTGGCCGTAGTAATAAAAGGCTATGGAAAGGTACTCTGAAAAAAAACCAACCGTGTAAAATAAATATGAAGTTAACCTTAAGATGCAGGGGGGTGCGCGAGCAGGGCCTGGGGCGTCGTCATCGAGCGAAAGCAATGTCACGATAGTGGAACACTTGGCCCTCGTGACACAAAATGTTCAACTGTGCAAAAGCGATACGGAAGGCCGGATTCCGGCTGGAGATTGACACAGAATCTGTGATACCTCAGCCCCCCCAACGACGGTGCGAATGGCGGTACCGCCGCTGGTGTAATGAACACGTTGAGCGTAACAGACCGCGTAATACCAAAGAATGAGTGGAAACTAGCTTCTTTTAAAGGAAAAGAGCGGAAGCCCGCTTCCCAGAGTGAGACAGTTGTGACTATAGTCATATCCACCAGCATCCCCAACGTCACCAGCTTTGAAAAAAAGCAAAGAGCAAGAGGATGAAGATGACAAAAATATGTCGGATGTCATGACAAAATACAAAATCAATTTGAATATAAACTTTTAAAATGTTGAAACTACTATTAAAAAATAATGAAAGTAATACGAAGTAAACATAAAAGACACTTTGGTACAAAATTTAACATAAAAAACAAAACAAAAAGCATTAAATATTTTGTACCAAGGAGTCTATTATGTTTAATTTCAAAGAAAACAAAACATCTAAAAATTAAATTAAATGTTCAAATTGTCCACCTTATTGAAGAATGTAAGCCAAAGAAGTACATTTTGAACAATATATTTAATTTTTAGAAAACTTTTTGTTTTTTCTTACGTTCCTTTTTTTATCAAAGAGCCTTTTATGTTTACTTTCTAAGAAAAAGCAAACAAAATCTAAAAATAAATGTCCAAATTGTCCACCATATTTAAGAATGCAAGCCAGAAAAGGTTTTGGACATTATATTTAATTTTAAAAAACTTTTTGTTTTTTTTCTTACTTTCTGTTTTGCACCAAAGAGTCTTTTATGCTTACTTTCAAAGATAAAACAAACCGCATCTTAAAAATAAAATTAAATGTTCAAATTGTCCACCTTACTTAAGGATACAAGCGAAAGAAAGTGGTCATTTTGAACATTAGTAATTTAATCTTTAGAAGTGTTTTTTTATTTTTTCTTATATTCAATTGTGTAGCACAAAGTCTTTTTGTTTGTTTTTTATTGCTATCATTATTCTTAATAGAAGTTTTAAAATGCAAAATCTGAATGACAGTATTTTTAATCGATTATAGCCAAAAAGTCAAATTTTGTATAAATCGAACGTTAATTTTACATATTAAATTCATTTAGACTTCTTGGTCTGATTGACCAAATAACTTCTTTCAATTAAATAATCTTTATGTAAGTATTGATTGGGATAAAAAGCCAGTGTCACGAGCGGGATTCGAACCCACGTCCGTCGGATAAATACGCCGCTGCTCTACCACTTGAGCTATCTTGACTTCGATCCACACGGACCCCAACTTCCCATCTCAACCCCACCTTTCGAATTTTGAAAACTGGCAAAAGGAGGGCAAATTCGAAATCGTGTGGATCGAAGTCAAGATAGCTCAAGTGGTAGAGCAGCGGCGTATTTAGCCGGAGGTCGTCGGTTCGAATCCCGCTGGTGACACTGCCTTTTTTATCTCAACCAATACCTTACATAAAGATTAATTTTACATTCGAGATAATTGACCATTAGAAATTCAGTAGATACACATAAAGCTCATGGATAGGGGCAAGGTTTCTGTAAGCGCCAATGTGTCAGTATTTACAGAACCAAGAAAATCACAAACCTATTATACTAAGTTTGGAAACTTTTTGTGCAAAAAATTTATCTCTAAGCGATTTTGCATTTTGTTTATTTAGGGTTACAATAAAAAAAAAGGATGCCAGAGGTTTTTCAATGCTTTTTGCACTGATGCAACCATATTTACTGTAGGTTGATAACCTGAAATGTGAAATATCTCTAATACAATTTTGGATAATACATACTTGTTAGTCCAATTTGACATGTGGGATTATCTCCTGATGTAGGGACGTCTAATAATTCTCTATTTGACGTAAATTGACGCGGTGACTCATTACAATAAGAGCCCGGTTTCGAATCTCAGTGGCCATGAATTTCAACTGAAGCCAACCCGTGTAAAAAATGTATTGTTACAAATAAAAATACATTGCGGTTTAAAAAATAGTTACATATGTTAATTTAACGAGCATGAGCACGTGTGCAAAGAATTCGAGAAAAAAAAATTATTCGGCCAACAGTGCAGTACGTATAAGCTACGAAAATCCACAACATTAGTGAGACCGTTTAAAATGAAATATTCTACGAGCGAGTAAAACAGTAATTATATCGTGCTACTTTCTAAAAATTTTTATCACGATTCGTTAATAATTTCACTTTCACTGTTCATCGAATGGGCGAGTTGGCTAATGCAATAATGTAATTATGAAAGGGGGCGATGTTTTCTGATACGTCTATCTCATTCTCTAGTCGCCAATTTTGTTTTGGAAAAACATTATTTCTATATTAATTATGTCTGCTTTTAAGCTTATTTTTATTTCAATTTCTAAAAATTCTGAAACAAAAATTTTTTGACCTTTTTCGTAAACGTCGATTTTTGTGGATTTCATTCTTTTTGAATGCAAAGGAAATTTACATTGAAAAATGTTTTCTTATTGCTTGAGAACGTTTTACGTAATCTTACCAAATCGACTATTTTTATTTTATTTTATTAGCTCGACAACAACATAAAGTTGCCCAATTCATTCGATTAACTGCGAAATGTACTGTGGATTGAACAATAAAAAGATAAGGGGATTTTTCAAAAGATCTCGCCTGCAAAGAAAGTGCGTTTACAATTGTCTCTACAACTTTGCTCCTTTTTTTTATGCAGTTGTTTTTCTTTGGTCTGTTTACTTGCTCAGTTTTGTATGAGAAAATTGGTTTGTGTTTATTGATTGTATATACTAGAAAATCTAAAATTTGTAATATATATATCGGGTTCATACATTTTACACCTTGATTGCATGTTCTTCTCGGTCTTACCTGCAAAACATAAAAAAGACTGTTAAAACTAAATAATAAAATTCAATATAATATTAAGAACATAGTCGTGTATATTCTAACTTGTCATTTTTATAATTTAAAAAATATCACGAACGTGTATGTTAGACATTCCTTCTCTGACGAACATTCTCTCTCTCTCTCGCTCCCGCTCTCTCCCCCCTCTCTCTCCCTTTCTCCCCCTCTCTCTCTCTCCTCTCTCCCTCCCTTTCTCCTCTCTCTCCCTCCCGCTCTCTCTCTCCTCTCTCCCTCCCTTTCTCCTCTCTCTCACTCTCTCTCTCCCTTTCTCCTCTCTCCCCCGCTCTCTCTCTCCCTCCCNGTCTCTCTCTCTCTCTCTCTCTCTCTCTCTCTCTCCCTTTCTCCTCTCTCTCCCTCCCTTTCTCCTCTCTCTCCCTCCCGATCTCTCTCTCCTCTCTCCCTCCCTTTCTCCTCTCTCTCCCTCCCGCTCTCTCTCTCTCTCCTCTCTCCCTCCCTTTCTCCTCTCTCTCCCTCCCGCTCTCTCTCTCTCTCTCCCTCTCTCTCTGACTCATTCTCTATCGTTCTCTAGCTCTATCTCACTATCTCACTCAGCCTTGCTATCTCACACACAAACACAAAATTATTAAACCATCCTTGTAAGACTTGTTGAAATTACTGTTTCAAATCTCTTTTTTTACGAGGGTTTGCAGCAGAGGTCATATAAACCCTCAGGGTGCCGGTGTTTTTGAAAAAAAGCCCATTTACAAGTATGTCGGGTTCGAATGCAGGGACGCTGGATCCGAACCCGGGACCCTTACCTTACAGTGATGAGCGCCGCGTCAACGCCTAAGCCGTTGCGGCCACCGACGCCCCTTTCAAGTAATTAGTAAGTATACTTTCGCAATGACGTTGAATGATTGTTCTCATACAGAAATTTTAGCTGGTAAGTTTGTTTTGTTGTAGAACTCAAAACAAAAAACAATCTAGTTTTAGTGAAACATGTGCGATGTGTCGATTTTGGGTTCTCAAAACTTCAAGTATCGGACTATTAAATTGTATCTTTTTAAAAACATAGTTCCTGCTCATAGCAATTTTTTTTCAACGATCCGGATTTCGAGCTTATAGCTCATCATCATGTTGAAGGAGTTGTACAACCACGTCTCTCGACATAGATTGCATGATTGAGCACCCCGGTTCCCCGGCCATCGCTACGATCTAATGAGAACCTGCTTTTTAATGCCGCTCAATTATCACGTGCGAAAAACGAAAATTATAACTGTGAGTAGGAACTATCTTTTTGAAAAGATTGAACAAAACACTCACTCCACCATTTATCATTTTTATTAAATTGTATGTGCGATAACGCCAAACCGATCTATTATGGCAATGTGTGTCAATAGCAATTGGATTGGACTCTGTCTGTCCTATCCGTATCGGTCTCCCTCTGTCATTTTTCGTATAAAGGAGTTAGTTTCTTCGATTTAAGGAAAAAAGCGAGAACACGCAACAAATAAAGCGAAGAAATCAGGCGGTGACGGGAAAGATAAACAGTGTTGGAAAATGTACCATCAAACAGGACAGATACTGTACAGACACAAATTCACGGTTATTCTGGAAGGATCTACAAACGGCATCGAATGAATCGCAAAAATTGATCGCTGCCACGTTCAATGTGTGTACTGTACTTATATAACAGACCGACCCTTTAAAAGAAATACTTCCTGCCGTTTTGAACAATTTTTATCCACCTTTTGTACTCTTACCGTAAAATATCGATCGGGTGACTAAGTGCTCCAAAAAAAGCTAGTAGAGCGATCAAGGAAAAGAATCGAACGGTTTCAAGATCATGAAAAAAAAGACTTAATTCGCCCAATTTCTGAAGGTGTCTTCCAAGTGTTACAAATATTTACAGCTCCTGGTATGGATGTACCCGGACATTTCTCGTCGTTAGAAAGACACGTTTTAAAAAGAAACCTTCCCCCTGGAGGGAAAACCTTTGTAATAACAGTGTACGTTTAAAAATGCCTGTCGATGTGCAGCACGGATGTCTCGAGATCTACGACATAACGTCCTAGAGAAAACGTATAATAAACGAGAGGCCACGGATTTCCATTCTTGGTTTTGCATTTTCTCAGGAATTAACAATCAATAATGGTTTGAAGGAAAAATGTTACATTCGAAAGAGATCGTTTATATACGTTTAGATAGATATTTTAAAAGGGATAGTTGATTTTTCTTTAAGTCATACTAAGTACTAATTTATAGTAAATTTACCTTTTTAACTACAGTTATTGTTTTCAGGCAGAACTGCCATTTTGCACCTTTTGAAATTCACCCCGAACGGTTGTCACTCCCAGATGATCTGACCCTTGGGTCTATACCACTGGGAGTTCTCCTATCCCGTTGTGCGGCTGGCTTATATCCCGACATTGTTTCGGCCGGGGACCGACACCCCCTGGACTTTTCCGGATATACTAGACCTCCACGATCTGGCGAACTTGGCCAAGTACCCGCAAACAGAATTTGTAAGTAAAAAAGGGTTAATTTGAAATTAAAAAGGTTAATTTGAAGTTAAGAAAGATTAATTCGATATAAAAAAGAACTACGTTGAATTAAAAAATATTAATTTAAAATTCACATAGTNAAAATTAATTTGATGTAAAAAAGGACTAAGTTGAAGTAAAAAAAGGTCAATTTAAAATTCACATAGTTTGCTTTGAAGTTAAGAACTTCATTTGAAATTAAAAAGAGTTCATTTGACAGAAAAAACTATATTAAGATTCTAAACTGCCATATGAAAATTAATTCAAACGAAAAGTTATATAAAGGGAAATATGAAAACAAATGGTTCTTTTATTAATTCGAGATTATTTCAAAATATAAAACAATTGGTCTATAAAGCAAGTATTTTCTATTTTTTTGAAATTTCAAATTAATACAAGAATCATTTGATTTTTATATTTCATTTTATATAGTTTCTGGGTCCGGTGTTCCGCATTTTGAAGGTTATTTTTATTGTATATAGTTAATTTCTATTTGTTTTGTTTGGGTGTGCGTATTTATAAGTGTGAGTGGTAAGGGACGAAATGTAGCCTTACCATCGCCCTTCCAGCAGAGTGTGTATTTAAAGTTGATGGTTGAATTTTTGTAAAAGTACCCATCGACCCTAATTTAGATTAGATTATTAATACCGTGTGTAGGTCAATGAAGGAATATCAAATACTCCACCGACTAATCAGAATGAGCTCAATGTAAGAATGTATTTATTTGTATGACTGGCTTATCAAATTTAATTAGTATAAGGGTAGATTATAGTTTGCTTGGGTTTAAGACTGATTTAACCTAGCTGGCGAAAAACCCCGTTGGTTGGGAATCGACGATCTCCTGGGCATCCGGCTTAATAAGGACACTAGCGACCCAGCCACATAACAGGATGGGTGAACTCCCTAATGTATAGACCCTAGGGTCAGCACATCAGGAATCCATGAAAGTCCAGTGTAAACAAATTATGAACAAATCATGATATAAATTGATATGTTTAAAAAACATTTTAAATAAAAAAAAGTCTGCATTATGTTATGATTTCACGTATGTTCAAATGGGATAAACTATGTTGATTTATTTATTTTTTTAGTATAAAAAATGTAATTGCTCTAAGGGAATATCTATTAAGGAAACTGAAAAAGAAATGCGAGTTATCGTCTTGTTAAAACTATTCGAGCTTAAGGTTGGTCACAATTTGCTTTTACTATACAATACATCGTAATTAGAAGAGCCTTGTATAAAATGAGAGAATAAATCATTTTCAAAAATATATTCCAATAACGATCGAAAGGATGACTCGTGGGGAGAATGGAATTTTAAACGATAACGTATCCGGCTTTGTGGGGGATTTAACAAAAAAATACAATAGAATCACGATAATTCCGTAATCGTTTACATGTTTTTATATGCAGGTGAATTATGGCGTTTAGGATGAAAAAATTTTATAACTTTGTTAAGGAAGTGGTGTCAACTGTCAATATTGAAAATACATCCTTGAACAGCAAACGCCTACAAAAGATGCGAGGGTTTATTTAAATAGCCGTAGAAATATTTCCTCGCCAATAGATAAACCTGTTTAGTAAGCACTGTGATTTGACAAGACTTGAATTGACAAAATGTTTTTAAAGGTTTGATATACGCGAAAATGACGTAAACTGACATAGTATACATAACATAATATACAGTTTTAATGAAATATTCAATATGCGTTTTGTGGTGTTTCATTTGAACAACCTACACTTACTGGTAATTTGAAAAAAAAAAAAGGAACAACAATACTGAAGTTGTAATACCTATTTCTACTCTAA